TCTTTATGTCTAGTAAGGAATTGAGGCTGCAGTATTCAAAGCTTTCTGTGGGAAGCAGATATTGAATGGGTTTGAAAATCATGCCTGTACTTTTGATGTTACTCATGTTAATGAATGATAAACAGGGGACACTTTATATGCAAACTAAACAGCATGACCTGCTGAACACAACCGATTTGGTTTCCTCCATAAATCCAGACATTTTAAGTAAGTCTTGTCTGAAACCTTTTTCAGTGACAGCGACCCGAGGTCCTAGCAGAGGGACTACACAAGAGTGAGAGTTATGGTGCTGTACAGACTTTTCTGTTAGAGAACCTTGTTGCATAAATGCTGAGCTTTTATTTGCTGTGCCGGGGGATAATACCTTGCAAGAGAGACAATTCCAAGGGAAGATGGGCTCAAATGCTGAACTTTTGCTTAAATCAAGATCTGTATTTTCAAACCCAGCTGGACTGTGAGTGATTAGGAGAAAGCCTTCTGTTTCAGTGCAGTAAAAACATCATCCTTTTGACATGATGGCTTTTCTGCTTCTTGTCTTCAAACTGAAAGCTTTGTGGTTTTGGGATCTGTGGATTGAATGAGGTACTTCTCCCCAAATCTGGGGACTTCATAAAAACTCATCCTTAGCATGTAAAGCATTGCAATTTATTTATGGTACGAATGGAAGAGTTTGCTCATAATTTATTGTTGTTTCCTTTGTGCCACTTGTCATTAACTTGGTAAAAGGAATATTGTGATAAAAATTTGTTTCCCATTGCTGTTTGGGCCATCCCAGGAAAAGATCTAGCAGCTTTGTCTCTCCTACCTCTTACTGGGTATTAAGTTGACAAAAGATACTGATTCTGACTCCTGATGGTGCTGCTCCTTAGCTGTGTCTCTCACAGAACTTCGATGAAAAATATGTTTAGTCTCTGAAGGTGTGGACCAGGAGAGGGTTTTGCTAGGAACTTAAGGTTATGTTTTACTGCTTATATTCTATTATGATGTATATGTTGTTATATTAATGTGTAGCTCCACTCATGCCAGATCGTAAATGTTGGAGTTTAAACCAGTTTACTTGGAAGGTTTTGCTGGGATTTTTTTTCTTTTTATCTCTGTTTCTCCACATATGCATGCACACACACAGAGGTTAAATTAACATTTGATTAGAGATCCCACTTTTCTTAGTTTTTATTTGCAACCTTATTATGTCATTTTGGTGTGTGCTGAAACGTTATTAATATCTGAGGAAATAAAAGAGAATTCCCCTTCAAATCCCCAAGTGAAATCAGTGAGTGCTTGTGCTCCTGACCACCAGGCTCAGCTATTTCCTGCATGCGGTAGTAATGGATCTGCAGAAATTCCCAGGGCAGAAGTGAAACCAAGAGCCTGCTTTACCTATGATAAGCCCTGACCCTGAACAAATAGTATCTGTCTAAAAGAGCAGGATGTTTGTACTGGAATATAAATCCCTGCACTTTTTCACCAATGTTGCAGTTTCATTGGGACTGTGTGAAGGAGGAGTAAGTGGGACGACTGAGGCATGAAAACATTGAGACATGAGATCGAGCCCAAATGCCAGGCACTCCTAAGCTACGTTTCTGGGAGTGCCATGTTTTGCCCAAGTTCTCCCTACATCCCTTCAACACTGTGCCCAGGATCTCATCCAGGCTTTTGTCATGGCAACTGCAAGTTCATTATGAGATTCTGGCAGCTTTTTTTACTGCCAGCCATCAGGCATGACTTGTGCTTATGGAATTGCTGCTCCTTTTGAGGAGCAATAGCGTCACTGAGTGAGCTGATACTGCCTGGAGCAGAGCCCTTCCATGCTAAACCCTGTACCAACCACACTGGCAGTGAACAAAACAACACTTACTCAACAGTCTGATTACTGAAAGACTGCTAAAAAGGAAGCAAATACCTCCCGTGCCTATGTTCTAAGGCAGGATATAGCTTGCATTCTCCATGTTGCAGGATGGAAACTAGTGGTTTATCATGACTCATCACCCTGAGTAATGAGCACAGAAGTCAAAAGGGCATCTTTTATGATCTTGGCTGGGATCCGTTAATCGTTGTCCATAGCAAAGGATGCCCCTGCACAAGGGACACACTCAGGGGGATTCAGGTGTATGGAGGCTGGGCTTCAGCCCATTACTGGTTTGAGTCACTCCAGGCCAGAGGAATGCTCCAGCTCCTGGGCTGATAAAGTTACTCTGAGAAAATTAAGAATATTAAGAATCTGTTTTGTTTTAGACAGCTTCCATCCTCTCCCTTGAGAAGTTGTGCACACAAGACCCAGAGGCCCAGGAGGCAAAGCTTTTTCGGGTTCAGCCTGTCTGCCAATTCCTGGCCCCTGTCACCTGTTCCAGCTACTCCTGTACCCAGGGAAAATCTCATTCTGTCTTCTGAAACCACCTCCTTTTCCCCATAAAGGCCTCGACAGTCAGCTGCCATTCTTCTTGAGCTGCAGAGAGCTGAAGGGACAAATACAGGAGCTGGGAAATTATCACTTCCGCTACTCAGAAGCTGTGCCCAGTGTTGTGTAAACACTTGTGGAAGTCTGCAGTGAGGCAAAGCTTGGGGAACAGATACGTAAAAAGCAAAATATCTGCTAGACATCAGAATTGCTATAGGAGGAAGTTGTGGCAAGGAAAGGAGAAAGGCTTAGGTCAGCTTCTGGGGTTTTTCAAATGTCAGTGTTTAATTATAGATGGTTATGTAGCCTTAGTCAAATCACAGCAAGTGCTGGACTTTCCTGAATCCCTTTGGAATCACAAAGTAGCAGTACAGGTTTTAAGTTGGTTTGCCTTTTAATATATGTATTTATAAAAACAGTGGTATATTTCTGCATATTTATTTTCGATATATATTTCAGCTCTGCTTGAAAAGAGTCAATTCTGTATTGTAGCTTCTACTTAAAAAATTGTCGTGGATTAAACGAAATGTTTAATTTGCTCCAACTCAATATGAAAATGTATTGAAAATATTAATATAAGGTATCAAGTACTATTAGAACAGGATGCATTAATATTACCTGTAGTGTTAGAAAATATTAACAAATATGCATACTACCAAAAAAAATTATCTACCTGATATGACCAGAAGAGATACTAGGTCCACCTAGAGAATTGTTAGGCACCGGCACCCGGGCTTTACCTGCCCTCTAAGGCTGCGTTTATTGCTTATTTGCATTTGCCTCTCATCGAGGTGGCCAGAAGCATTTTCTGACTATGCAAGTAAGAAGTGGCAGGAGGAAACAGATGGTAAGTTTTAAGAAGTTCGTGGCAGGAACTTTTGATTAAATTAGAAGTGATCAGTGGCCATAACACACATCACACCTTCATCTCTGACTCTTATAAGTGAGATCTGTTTGGCATAAAAGCTGTAACATATAAATGTGATGACCCAATGTATCTCAAGCCAAAACCTGGTGGTGCAGCAGCAGGAAGGAACAGTGGATGTGTTCACTCAGAGCTGCTTTGCTGAGGGGGCTGCTGGGGGTCAAACTGCAAACACCACCTCCCCCCCTGGGGCTCACCAGACTGAACCTCACAGGGCACTCGTGGCATTTTTGAGTCCTCCATCACTCTCACCATGTGTGCCTAGTCTGATGAGTGCTGCTAGAATCTGCACTTCTGTGCTTTCTACCTCAGCAATTAGATTTATATGGCCAGCCATAAACACTGTGAAGCAAATCACTAAGACTAAACATGCTTTTGACTGTAGAAAGAAATTAACAATAAATCAATGGGAATTGACACATTAACATTAATGTTTAGCCGTATAAGCATTCCCCTGGACCCTGGAAAAACAACACAGAATAAATACATAAGCTGCAAAATCCTTTTATGTAATAAAAAATGTGGTCTATTAGTGTGTCAGATAGAACATGGTGCTCATAATTCCAAGGTCACAGCTTCAATCCCCATATTGGCCTTTCACTTAAGAGTTGGACTTGATGATCCTTCTGGGTCCCTTCCAACTCAGAATAATCTGTGAACTGGCATGAAAGAAAAAAATCGACTGAATATTTTCTGTTATATTAAAATAAATAATGTGTTCTTTTCTTTGGAAATATGACTTCTAAACTTCTCTTGGTATATATGCATATATGTGTCTCTCTGACTGCACCTTCCTGTCTGTGAGTGGAAACTTCAGCACAACAAATAGAAGTAACACAGATGATGCAGTCCCTCTATTTTTAGCTTCTCCCTTCTGAAAGCCGTGAACTCCCAGTCTTCACCCCGAGGCTCACAGTGACTTGGAACTTGATGAGACAGGAGGTAGTTCAGGTATCGCCCGTGCACCCAGTCAAATACCCTTTAGCTGAAGTCACTTACAAACAGTCTTCACTCTCTGATCTGATATTCCTATCATACACCTAGCATCATCCCGAGATCTCTCTCCTATGTGCTGATGGTCAGCCTGGAATATTTTACTTCTATAGGAGCTTTGTAGTTTTTTCCTATGTCAATCACTTCGGCTACTTCCTGCAGGGAATTTCACCTCGTAGTTTGTTGCCTAATCAGTGAATTTCCTAAAGTCTTTCTGCAGTTCTTTATCAATGAGCCTTGTTTTCACATCATCATTAAGCATCACCAGAGAACTTCAGCTCCTGGCAAATGGCCTTCCCAGACCCAGTGTGGGACAGCCAAACCAAACAGGGCCCCACACAAGGTGGTGTAAGAATCCGTGGGTGATGTTCCTTTATCAATGAAAGTTGATCTTTTCTTTCTGCCCTTCATCTGTATGTATTCACCTGTTACTTACCAATTTCCAAGACATGTTTCTCAGCCTCATTATTTCCAGTGTTTAGTGAGGGCTGTGAAAGGTTTCAAAAAGGCAGTTTGACTCTACATGTGAGACCTGCCACATCCACAGCCTTGTTTTCACCTTCAAAAAACTGCAACAAGTGCGTGACTCCCTTCAGAGCTACACAAATGCTTCCTTATTATGTGTTTATTTGTGTGTTTGCTAATTGTACCCATTCTGTTTCTGCTTTAAGTAAGGCCATTTAGGGGTAACTAATTTCATCTTGTTTATTCTCATCCTTACAACACTTAAACACTTTCATTATTCTTGAACTCCTTGATCTATCACAGACAGAAGTCTAGAGAGAGCGGCAGCAAAGAAAATGAAACGAATCAGCAACCATCTCAGGGAAAGAAAAATAATCAGCTATAGTAATGTAGCAGAGGGGGCATTCTCAGCAGCAATGTTTTCTCTCATTTCATATGCTTGCAGAAATCCGAGGTTTATTCTTCCTTGACTTCTCTTTGACTGGAGACTCAACATTGTCCCTGGCCCTGTAATTAGATTAAGTAGAAAGTGAATTCAAAAATTGATTAAAGAAACAACTAGTATTGATACAAGTTAAGGGAGAGCAATAAGTGCTCAAGAATCATTAATGACGTATTTTTACTGTACCAACCGATTGAGACATGTGCAAAGAAAAAAAAAAAACCAAACCAAAACCAAAACTGCTCCAACAGAAAGAACCTGTACGTGCCTGTGTGCACAGTAGGGATTTGACTATCCCTGTCTACAGCAGTGAAAGCTCTTGGAAATGCCAGCTGCATGTCTGAATTATACCCAGAAAGAGGAAGTGACTCTTGGAGACCTCGCCTTTTGGAAGTGTCAGACACACAAAGCGTGCTGTGTCTCAACAGAGGTTTAGGGGTATCATAGCCATGGCCCTTTGGGTGCTTTAAGACACCAGGAAGATATCAAAGGAAACTATTTCACTCCTCAGGCATGTAGAAAAATTGCTTTAGAGAGAACTAGTGGAAAGAGTTACTAATGCCTGAAGAGAGAACATTTGCATGCAAAGAATTTAAGTCAAGTGAGCTTCTAGAGTGAGCTTTTAAATGCAGGTGTTCTAGGAAAGGAAACAGCTTACCTGGCCAGCAGAGCCTTTACAGCCAGCCGGACCCAGGGCGCAGTGGGCTCCACGCACACTTCCCTGCCATCTTTCAGCCAAGCTCTGCCAAGAAAGGAGCAGAGAATTTAAGGCTAGGTGTGTCCCTCACACTTGTCCTAATGGCTGGAAATTTCTCTTAGCCAGTCCAGAAGGACCTGTTTGGTTTTGTCTTATGTGTTCGGGGGGTTTTATGAAGGATGTCAGTACAGGTGTTTATGCTGTAATCTTATCACGAGCCTAATGAACTTTCTATTTGGTTTCAGTTCTCTATCTGGCCATACTTTAGCAGAGCTTTCAGGAACTTAATTAGCTGGAAAAGTTGGGGTTTTTTTAACCAAACCTGGCTTAAATTACCAATTTCTAGTGAGGTGGAACGGGATGCCATGCAGTGCTGCTCGGAGGGTGTGATTGTGCAAACATTATTTGCTTAAGAAACTGTAGCGAAAGCATAAAAGCCTGACAGAGCCCTTCTGCTTACTGGCTGCACTGTGATTAATTCCAGGAGTGGTTTTAAATGCAGCTTGCTGTATCTTTTATTTTGTACCCAGATAGAGTATAATCCAAATTCCCTGCTCCCGAAACAGGGAAATGCTCCATGCATTCTGACACAGGAAATAACTTGGGACCTTTCAAACTTTGCCACATGCAGGCCAAGTCAGAGGAAATTATTTTAAATCATGTCAAGAGGATCAAGTTTGTATCTTTGATTGATTCTTTAATGTCTAAGTTATTAATTGTGCCCTGTGTTGCGGGAATTTGATTCTCCCCTCTGATGGTGTTCATAAGTAAGACAACAGCAGAAAGAGATTTAAAATACTGTCTGGAAGCTGCTTGTAACATTGGCTGGGAATTAGTTTTTTCCTTTGTATATGAGGCCTCATTCCTGATGCCTGATGTCTCTGAGGCTTTTGCTAGGGAAACATCCTGCCACTCTAAGTACATAAGTAAATAGGATGAGAAATGCCGAGTCAGTTTCTCCTGCAGGAAGCAAGATGCAATTTAGGGAAAGGGCTCACATGATTTCCACATTTTTGCAGTGAGGTCCTCTTTGGCTTAATCTCACATCCTGAATAGTCTTGGGAGAGATGAACTTGGAATGAGTTCTTATGCAGTGGCATTGGGAGACTCTTTCATGTGTCTTCTCCAGGGCCTTACCTGTGGAGCAAAACTGTTATGTCTAGGTACATGAACAGTTTCTTTATTTATGGAAGCAAACTGTATTCCCTCCTGTAGCCTCATTCTTATCCCTCAGACATTGATTTGCTGGATGCTGAGATAAAATTAACTGCATTTGCACAACACAGCAGCTGCATTTTCAGAGCTGTTGGTGTCAAGGTGCATTTGAAATAAAACTTGGATTGCTAAGTTTCTGCCGTGATCATCTGCTCATACTCCTTATTCTTTCTTCCAAACTGGATAATTCTTGCTCTGTCATCAACCTGCCTACCCAGCATAAAATCACAAAAAGGATAAAATTGTCATTTTAAAAGAAATCCTATATGGACATATTTAGGGGAAAAGATACTGTTTTAATTCAAACACTTATTAAAATCTAGAGACAAACATATATTGTGGCATAAGAATAAATTCATTTGCAGACAGAAGCATATTTTACTCCTGGAAACATCCACAGCATCCTAACAGGTACAAATGATCCTTTCTGGTTCCGAATGACAGTTTACTGAGGATGCTCTTCTCTTGCAAAAAGTCACCATGGACCTAGTGTTAGCCCGCTTGCATTTGCATGTGTATACTAATCGATTGCTTACATGAGTTTTAAGAAATAATTTTCTTACCTTCTGACCCTGCCATTGAGACCAAGTAGAGAACCAAAGTGACAGCAAGAGATTTGCCATCCATTGCTGTGCACGTTTTCTTTTTGACAGAGGTCCCGTTCTGGTGCTGTTTCTCATCAGGTTTTATACCTGAAAGGTGCACTCCCAGCAGCCTGAGCACTGAGAGGTGGGTTCTGCACAGGCAGGTTTCCTAACACATGAGAGTGTTGCATAAGAAATCCAAAAACCTCTATGCAGTCCATTCAGTGGCACTTCAAACTTCCCTAGCTTTTGCTGCTGTATATTTTCAATTATTCTTTAAACTGTTATTGTTATCCATCACTTTCTGTTTGCGCTTCTTTTTGGGATATTGGCTTTAGCCAACAATGCTGAGCTTGCACTTGGAATACAACATTACCAGACATCCCTCCGAGCCAAAACAAAGGTAGTTTTCCCCTCCTCTATGAGTATAGAATCTCTGGTCAGCTCTTTGCATCGTGCTTAAGTGCCTTGTGCAAAAACATTTACCCAGCATAATTACAAGAACTTTTCATCCCAATCTTACACACTGTATTTTGACATTAATCCGATGAAATTATTTAGTCAGCGTTTTAAGAAGACAAGACATAACTAGTTTCTTTAGTTCTCTGAAAGGATTTTGTCTTTTTCAGTTTGGCTAAAAGAATTTAGATGCTTTATTCTGTACTGAAAAGTTTCTCTAGTCACTAAGCAGGAAATTATGAGCTTAAAATGACTGAGGCATCAGCACCAAAATCACTTAAGCTCTTCTGAAACTTTGATCTGTTTAGAATATGAAAGGAGAAAGTATCTGGCAGTAAGGGCTGTGATGATACCTGGTTAAAATAAGCACTTAGGAAGCTGTTTGTTTTTCTTTCTAACCTCGGGCATTTCGAATAATCACAGATGTTTAAGACAGCAGATAAACATGTCATAAGACAAGGAAGAACAGCCCAGTCTGGCGAAGGTAGACACCAAGTCAGAAGAGCCACAGTGCTTCTCTTAGGAGTCTCCAAGAGTACTGACACATATTTTAGGAAACATGAGGGTGCTGGTTGTGCTTCTAAGGAAGGTGTTCTGTGACTACACACAGAACAGAGATGTGATATGTTGTCATTTTCACCCTTGGAATCACAGATGAGCCTATGGAGGAAGGTGCCCATGCCCTGCCTAGGATCCTTCAATTGCAGCTATTGCTGACATTTTGGACAGAAGAAGTGATGAGAAATGCACTTTCTCAGCTGTGGTTCAGCTCCCAATAACTTGACTGGGATTTTACTGGTGGCAAAGGTTACATGCTTCTGTATTACACTCAAAGTGATGCCAGTCCTTTAGGATACACGCACACTTTTATGGCTGTGCAGAGCGAGTGGTCCTTCCCAACCTCTCCCTGTTCTTGGCTGATACTTGCGACATCCTTACCTCCAAATTACATCTCTGAAAGGAGGCACCTTGTAAAAACCCCTCGGGATTATTGACAGGAAGGCTTAGACTTTTAAGACAAGTCTGAACAAAACCTGCCTTCTTGAGAAACTTTGACTCCTTCCCATTCTGAGGTCTAGCAGGCTGTGCAATGCTGTGCAGTGGGACAGGGAGGAAAGTGTGGTCGGAATAGTTGTCCTCTTGCACAAGAACTTGCTCGAACACTGCCAGAAACTCCTTTATGTCTTGCACCATGAGCAAACATGAGCTGATTGTGCAGAATATGGAGTGGCTCCTTGTTGGAAAAGACCAAACCTAAACAAATATCAAAATATTTTCTCAACTTTCTCATTTCTCAAGTGTTCACTGCTCGAGTTTCAACATTCCTCTGTAAATTGCTGCGCTACAGGTAGGTGTGAGGCCATATAATTGGAGCTGTGTTTCTTAGGATTTCCCCTGATATAGTCCTCCCTCCTGACTGGAATTAGGGAGGACTTCCTTAATGCTTATCAGATTTCCCTGTTTATTTAAGTTAATGAAAACCCTTGCTCATTGCCATGTTCTCAGCTGCTGTGCTGTCAGAGCACCACACTGCTATGGCCTCACAATTTCTGTGGCTAACCGGTATTAGTTCATTATTATCTAGAAAATGATCCTCCAGACTTCTGAAAACACTGAGTCTGACAAGAAAAGGAGAAGAGAGTAGATAACTGACATGATTCCTCTGACTGTTAATTATGTACACTTCCCAGAGGCAACAATTCCCTGTTTTGATTTGCTGCCCCCCACAATTCACACCCCCTCCTTGCCCTTCTGGGAACCCATTGAGTGATCCAAAGAGAAAGCAAATGCTTCCTCTCTCTTTCAGTTCTCTGTTCCGACAAGAAAATTAATAACAGACAATACTGAAGTAGAAACATTTCACCAAGCATTTATTAGGTATGTAAACATAAACATCTTAAATAAATAAATTAATAAATAAATAAAAATTATTCAATAAATAAATAAAGTGCTTTTTTTCTAGCTAAAAGATGGCATTAAAATACATGTTTATACCATCACAACACTCATTCACAATAAATAATATCTTGAAAATGATGACACAAAACCCGATGTACCAGAATTTTGACATGTTAAGTCTAGAAGCTCCCCTCTTCAGCCAGTGAGTGGCAGGGACCCAGGCTGAAGTTACCTGCCCATGCTTTGCTGGGGAGAAGTTGTCGCAGGTCTTTTCCTAAACTGTTAGCAAAAAGAGAAGGAGTCATTTAGTGAAAGCTCTGCTGGGCACGCAGTGCACTGTTCCAGCTGTATTTAGCAAAAATTATTCCAGAATCATCTCCATATTCCTTCACAGGCCATTTTTTCTGCCTCCTTGTTGAGATGCAAGTGGAATCCAGGGAATACATTTTCTAAATGCTGTGACATTGTGAATGTAGGAGGCAGGAGGAGGTGAGCTGTCAGAAGCCGGGTGAGTGTCTTCCCTATTTTTGCCTCCCTGGAGGAGTTAGGACATTTTTCTTCTTTGTTTTAGGACACTGTTTCAGGTTTGGTGTTGGCCCTAGAAAGAACGAAGATGGAAAAGGAAGCTATTAAAAATCAACCATACAACAGGTAAGGCTTGCTGGTGTCAGCTGAAATCCACCACTTTGTGCTTCTGCACCCAAGACTCTGAAAAGTTTTGACAGAGCTCAAGGGACCCTGGTACGTCATAACATTCCCAAAAGGATGCAATATCAGTGAATTTCCATAGTTTGATGCTTCACTTGACAACTGGAGCCTGATTTTCCCCCCCCCCACTTATCTATATGCCATTCATTTGAAAAACTCATTGCTACTTTCTACCACTGCAAGCGTGAGAAAACCAGTCAGGTAATGCTTGGATTTTCTGTGCAGTTGTGCTGCAGGTTTTCAAAATGCTTGTACCTTAGGGCAGGGGAAGGTAACCTTCCCAGAGATGTGTGGCCCAGTAAGGCTTCAGTAGCTAACGCTGTAATTAAGACTCAAAGCAATCACAGTGTTTGTCACAATTAGTGAACACAAAAGGTAATAATTGCCCTAGGGGACAGAATTTTGGACGTCTGTGTTTGGAAGTTCAATTAAAATACTGGTTTCCAATAAGCTGTGCTTACTGAGAAATGACTCACTTGTCCAGAATTGCCTTGATGATCAGCTTCACCCACGGAGCAGTGGGCTCCAGGCACACTTCTCTGCCATCTCTCAGGGTAGCTCTGCAAGAGGGAAGAAAGGAAGGGAAAAAGGCTATTTAGTGAAATCCAAGGCAATGTCACCCTTCTCTCATAACATCATTCTAGGGATACACTGACATGTTCCACTTCAAGTTATATAAACTGAGGCTGTAGCCTAACATAAAGGGATCTTTTTCACTGCTTTAGTATCTTCTCATATGTGTTTGTTTGATGCATTAAACCATGTGCAGGACTCTCCCTTTCTTCAAAGCTGGTTTTTTCCCCAACTGGCTTTGTGTTTGTGTCAGTCTTCCACTGAAGAGTTAAATCTTTCCAACTTGATTCAGAAATTGTACTTCCCAGTCCATAGGAATTTGGTTACTTACAGTAAAAATTCTGGAATGCAATTGGAATTATTTGCACGCTAATGGTAGTCTTTTTCATTGACATGAGTAGAAGTGTGATCATTTTTTGGACTGACCCCTTAAAAATTATGTTTTGATCTTTTGCTCAACATGGCTCCATGCGTTTTCACAAGCCAGTATAATACAGAGTTTGAGGAAGTTATTTGCTGCATGATGACTGCGAATTTAGGTCAAAATATTGCATGAGTTTCAAAAGCAGAGATTGGCAAAACAACATGCAGTTCGTGACATGCAGCACATTGTCTGCAGGGGCAGGGAACCCTGCTCTTCTGTTTTCTGAGCAGCTGCTTCTGCCACCACTCGGAAAACATTTACACCCTCTCGAGAGCAAAATCTGCTTCCTTCTGGTTAAGTAATCAGGGAAGTTTTGCAAAACACTTACATGACTTCAACATTCTTGCAGTGAGGTCCGCTGGGGGTGAGGTTCACGTTTTGGATGAACTTGGGATGGATGAACCTGGAATGGGTGCTTATGCACTGGCACCGGAGTTCAATGGCCGAGCGCGGCACTGCCTCACCTGGAAAACAGAAAAAGGTGGAGTGGTTCACTACAGGCACAGGAAGCACAGCATGGGGGGTTTTGCTGACAGCATTAAGAGAGTCTTTGCTGCACTGGTAAGACAGCACAGTGTCTCCTCACCAGCATTTGCTCCGGCCATTAGTCAAGAGAGCTTTAGGAAGGGTTTCTTTACCTTGTGTTCCAAGTGCTGAGATCAGGAGCAGGATCAGCACAGCAGCCACAGTCTTGCCAGTCATGATGCAAGAGCGTGCCTTCGTCGTGTGGCCTGGGCCTGGTTCCGTGGTGGAGGGAGCTCTGGCAGATCCCGGGGTGCTAAGTGCCTGTGCCCCGGGACCGGCCGTGTTTATATCCTGCTGGGCCACCCGGGGCACTCCGGCATCACGGGTGGGTCACAGCCACGGAAACTCCGAACCTGCGAGATGCTGCTGGGCGCTGAGTCACAGGTGAGTGGGTAAGCCCCTTTCCCTCCGTGGCCACAAAACTGCTTCTCCGTAATACAAAGCCCTTTATGAAG